ACATATATGCATGGTGCCATCAAAGCGCAGAAAGGCATGTATTTATGTTCGTACATAAAACCGAAAACGCCTTAGGGCCAATTTCACCAAGCTCGGTTAGATTAACCGACGGTTAAAATTAGCAGGGTGGCCAACACAAAATAGAGGTGAAGGAAAACCAAGCATTCTTATCATTTCAGTTGGAACCCTGCTAATTTTAACCGTCGGTTAATCTAACCGAGCTTGGTGAAATTAGCCCTTATATGAGAATCTCGCCTTTTACTTCAAGAGAGAAGTCCCTTAAGGGTTGCAGCGCAAAAATCAAAATCATCTCGATATGATAGCGCATAAATCGAAGACTTGTCGTGTATAGTTAGTTTAGCCATTTTCGCGATTTTGAATGAGTTATATAAGGATCTCGCCCTTTGCATCAAGAGGGAAGTCCCTTAAGGGTTGCAGCGCAAAAATCAAAATCATCTCGATATGATAGCGCATAAATCGAAGACTTGTCGTGTATAGTTAGTTTAGCCATTTTCGCGATTTTGAATGAGTTATATAAGGATCTCGCCCTTTGCATCAAGAGGGAAGTCCCTTAAGGGTTGCAGCGCAAAAATCAAAATCATCTCGATATGATAGCGCATAAATCGAAGACTTGTCGTGTATAGTTAGTTTAGCCATTTTCGCGATTTTGAATGAGTTATATAAGGATCTCGCCCTTTGCATCAAGAGGGAAGTCCCTTAAGGGTTGCAGCGCAAAAATCAAAATCATCTCGATATGATAGCGCATAAATCGAAGACTTGTCGTGTATAGTTAGTTTAGCCATTTTCGCGATTTTGAATGAGTTATATAAGGATCTCGCCCTTTGCATCAAGAGGGAAGTCCCTTAAGGGTTGCAGCGCAAAAATCAAAATCATCTCGATATGATAGCGCATAAATCGAAGACTTGTCGTGTATAGTTAGTTTAGCCATTTTCGCGATTTTGAATGAGTTATATAAGGATCTCGCCCTTTGCATCAAGAGGGAAGTCCCTTAAGGGTTGCAGCGCAAAAATCAAAATCATCTCGATATGATAGCGCATAAATCGAAGACTTGTCGTGTATAGTTAGTTTAGCCATTTTCGCGATTTTGAATGAGTTATACTACCAAACGATTGTCTTTCAATTAAGACCAATTTGAACAAAATTGGTTGGTAAATAATATATTTGTTCGGCTAACTTTACAGCTTCCAGTTAGGGCCAATTTCACCAAGTCCGGTTAGATTAACCGACGGTTAAAATTAGCAGGGTTCCAACTGAAATGATATGAATGCTTGGTTTTCCTTCACCTCTATTTTCTGTTGGCCACCCTGCTAATTTTAACCGTCGGTTAATCTAACCGGACTTGGTGAAATTGGCCCTTAGGGGTTAGCAGTCTAGTAATATATAAACGTCTATGGTGTATTCAGGTGGGGAATCGGAACGCACCCCTTCATGGAACATACGAAAACAATAATGGCGTATTCTGTGAATATTTCTGTAGAGGCGCCTATTGAGAACCAGATACAGGAAATCAGTTATGATGGCCAAGAAATTTATCAAGCGTATGTAACAGTTTTAGAAATAATAGAGAACGTATTAAACAATATTTGATTAATGCAATTTTAATTAGGTATTAAATGTACATTACAAATACATCTCGTAATTAACCTTAGTTTTGAAAATTGAAAAATTGAATAGAATTATTAAATATTATATTATATATTAAATTTATTAATTATGCTGCAGGCCCCTTACATTGTCGGAGAACTTGGCGAAAATTGCTCAAAAAATTGACTTCAATAAAACAAATGGTGAGGAGATAAAGAAGGAGCAATTAGAAGGTGAAAAAGGCGATGAAGATACAAAAGATTCTACTTCATTTCAATCTTCTTTATGGCCTTGGGATAGTGTTAGAAATAAATTAAGGTTTGTCATATTTTTTTTGTATCTCGAATTCTTCTATTTTATGCAAGTAATGAGTATTCAAATTGACAATTAGATATATAATGATTTACTAAACCTAATAATTGAATTTAACTTTTTTATAGGAATGCCTTGACGGAAGTTTGTGTATTGGCTGATGTACTTGCAATAGCAAAAGAGAAAAATTATATGGTATTGGATCCAGTACCTCAGGAACCAGTTGAAGTAAAGCCTATGATACAAGTATATGCTAGAAAAAAGGCATTGGCAGGAGCAGCATCAGTTCTCATGCTGGGTGCTGAGAGACTGCGAAATTGTCAAGCAGAATTAGCTAGAACGAAATCCACTCCTGACTTTCATATTGAATTATTAAGATTACGACAAAATTGGCGTTTGAAGAAAGTGTCAAACTCTATCATTGGTGATCTTAGTTATCGAACTGGTTAGTATCTATTTTTATATTTGTTATAGATTTAAACATATTTTATATTTTCTTGGAAAAGTGGTTTGTGTAGTTTTAATATTTTTATATGTTTTAAAAACTTGTGCTGTATTTATATTCTAGCTGGCTCGAAATATACACAAATGGGTATGTTTGAAGTCACTAAAGCTGAAGAAGAAGAGAAAAGTAGTAACAGTCCACCAGCATCTCCTAATGCTGGTAATAATATGTCGGGGCAATCTCATATTTCTTCAAATTCAAAAATGTCTGCCTTACGCGTGACCATACCTAGCGAGTTGCAAGGTGTCGCCTATATTGAAGTATTATGTCAGAAAGGTAATGTGACCAAAAGAAGAAAAAAAGATTTGTCTAAAAATATACTATATAAAAAATATATGTATAATGTATATAATATACATGTTAAAAAGTGAGCATGTATACGTTTCTTTAGATCAAGAAGATTTATGCAATGCGAATATAAGTTTGCTTAATAGCAATACTAATAATTCAAACGCCGATATGCATTGGCAGCAGAAATTAGAAGCTGCACAAAATGTTTTATTTTGCAAAGAACTATTTAGTCAATTGGCACGAGAGGCCGTGCACTTACGCGCGCCTATACCTCACATGGTTGTTGGAAATCAGATAATGGCCACAGTATGTATCTTAAAACTAAAGTTAGAGATAATTTTCCATCTTCTTCTTATGTAATGTTCTTTAATTCAAATCGAATAATATATTGTGACATTTACTTAATAAACCATTTTATTTATTATATTATACTAGGTACTTCCTGGAATTCAATTAATAATTGGTCTATGCCATAGCACAGGCAACGATAAGAAACCTACTGCTCCACCGCCGCATAAAACAGATCACGATCATGTGTTGGAACATTCTTTACATCAATTGTTGCGTGAAGTGCATTATAAAAATAGTCAACATCCATTTCCTCATCCTGCCTCAGGTCCACTCGGACCTAGTAAGCGCAGATACTTAGCTGGCCCTACTGCTGCTGATAAATACGAACTTCTAGAAATGACGAAAAGTCAAACGTTACTAGAACAGATTATTCAACAGGCACAACATTTTTTCATGCGTTTGCGCACGGAATACGTATTAGATACGATAGCGAAAGAAGTGAAAGATCCTCTTATTGTTTCACATTGGAACGCATTAAATTCACCGACACAATCTTGTGTAAAAATTAATATTTTGACGCATGGATACGACAGCGTATGTCGGACGACAATGATCGTTCACGTTGGTGAAAAATCATTGAAGTGCGTGTGTCGCGATGGTAGAGTTATGCATATGAGTTATGAACCCCAGGAGTTGAGGGATCTAATTTTTTGTCAGGTAATTTTTCTTTACTTTTTTATTAACAGTCATTTGTAAAATATAAGAGTATAAAGATTTTAAAGTTTTATATAAAATATTTTTTAATTAATAAAATGGTATGATTTTTTTTTATATGCAGATTTATCAACATCAGATAAATGCAGTACAAGCTCTGGCCAAATGCATGGGCTGGCAGTTTTTAGCAAATAGCTCACATCTTGGTCTAGGTTCAGTGGAACCTCTTGGAAATGCTAGTAGTTGTATTCTAGCTTCGCCAATCGGTGACAGGTATTTTCTTATATTTCAATTTATAATATAAAATTTTCTTATGTATTATATTTATTGATTACAAAATTATATTTACAGAATGATAGCTGTACGATGTGAACCACAAATGGGCGTGCAAGTTGCTATTGCTCATTCCCCCCGAAAAGATTTCTTTCCTGGCCAACTTGTTCGAGAAAGAAAATGGGAGAATCTAGGAGGTTCCTTTAAAGAAGTCAGATGGGACAAGATGGAAGGGAAAAATTTCCTCAATAAAATGGAATTACTAATGTCTTCTTTAATGAGCTCTTAAGTGTTGCAAATTACAGTGAAACTTCTATATATTTTTCTTGTGGGACTTAAAGGATTTTTTATACTTTCCCTTTAATTTTCACTTATTTCTACTCACATATTTTAATAATAGAATGCATAGAAAAAAAGTTACATACGTGATTAATTTAGAATAAGGAAAAAAGAGTTGTATAAATTAGAATGCACTTTCCCATATGTTTCTCGTATAAAAATAATGATCCGACAGAGTCGTAAACAATATATAATTATAGATAAGTAAATATAAATTAAGAATTGCTTATAACAATAATGGGGAAACTAGACCCACGGCTGCGCGACAGCCGAACCGCGCAGCCGTAGAAGTCTAGCACGACCGAACAATGCCGAAGATAATCGACGCGACAGGCATTCACTGCTCGCCGCCATTCGGAATTCGGATCCGAGTAAGCGAAGGTGCTACACTACGCGGGTTTTACTTCACTGTTCGATACGCGATTACGTGCGAGTGTAGGTAGAATTGTGCAATTATAGACATTGGTATTGATTCTGTAATTCAAGTGAGAGTAAAAAATGAACGAATTTATTATAAAAAATTTATAATTTCATTGGTCCAAACATAGTAAATTCGCTCATTTTTATAATTTTCACCCTTGAATTACAAAATCGATGCCCTCGTTTTATTTGATTGCTTTGAGTGAGAAGTTATAAATCTAAGTGAAATTATATAATTATAGATCTTGTTGCATTAAAATCATCAGGCGATATGAACTTCGCTTTACACGGATTTAATAAATAGTAAACGTGTGGAAGTATTTTTATTCAAATTTCGTGTGCCTTTTCATTTTGCTGCGCATGCGCATATCGCCAGAATTTCGTCGGCATGACAGATTTCCTAACCTTCAAAAGTGGCATCTTTCTTTTCACACTACCGAGCAACGATTTTTACTTTTCAAATCATTGTTTTTATGTAAAAAGTCATCGATTAAGTGTATTTTTATCAAAATCTAAGTAGAGCGGGTTATTCTAAACATTTACTGGAACAGAAATAAAATTGAAGAGGAAGAAACCTAAACAGGAAAGAAGGAGTCTGAGAAGACATGTTCTAACGTTTAAGAAAAACTTGGTTCATTAACTCCAAATTTGATTTATATTGTTATCCTGATTGGACTGTTTATTCTGTGATAATGGGCTCTGATCATACGAACAGACGATGGAGTAATTTGCGTAAAGTGTTGGAGAGATCTGGTCCGTTTTGTCGACCGGATTTCGAGCCATCTTCTGAGAATCTGCAGATGCTCCTAGAGCGTTGCAAAGTGCTCGTTGTCGGTGCTGGTGGTTTAGGATGCGAGCTATTAAAAAATTTGGCTCTGATGGGATTTAGACATATCCATGTGATTGATATGGATACAATCGAGTTGTCTAACCTCAACCGGTAAGCAAGGTTATGTTACAAGTTACAAGAGATACTCGGAGAGATTTCATTCATAAAAGTACAATATTTCTGTTATACCTGATCTTTTCCGAGTTTTTTCATTTTTATTCTATAAAAGAAATTCTGGCATAAAACCTGTATAAAAAAAAATTATTTATTTATAAACAAATATTTTTTATTTTATAAAGTTTATAAAAAAATAACATATATTGTGCAGACAGTTCTTATTTCGTCACAAAGATATTGGATCTTATAAGGCGGAGGTAGCTGCGAGATTTATCAATGCTAGAGTGCCTGGTTGCAATGTAATTGCACATAATTGTGAGATACAAGCTAAAGATGCAGCGTTTTACCAACAGTTTCATATAATAATCTGTGGATTAGATTCAATTGTCGCAAGAAGATGGCTTAATGGTATGCTAATATCTTTGCTTGTCTATGAAAATGGTACGTTGGAGCACAGTAGTGTTATACCATTGATAGATGGTGGAACTGAAGGTTTTAAAGGAAATGCCCGAGTTATATTGCCTGGTATGAATCCATGTATTGAGTGTACCTTGGATCTCTATCCTCCACAGGTGAGAATATAATCTCCCATACTCTTCGAGATTTAATATTATCAGTAGAGCATTTGTTTGTATCATATATTAGAAACTTGTTTGTGCTTTGCATAGGTCACATATCCTTTATGTACAATAGCCAACACTCCGCGTTTACCAGAGCACTGTGTAGAATATGTAAAAATAATTCAATGGCCAAAAGAGAATCCATTCGATTGCGCGATTGATGGAGACGATCCCCAGCATATAAACTGGATTTACGAAAAGTCGATCGAAAGAGCGACGCAATTTGGCATACAGGGCTTAACATATAGACTTGTACAAGGTATCATTAAGAATATTATACCGGCTGTGGCGTCGACGAACGCCGTTATCGCCGCTATCTGCGCGACAGAAGCATTTAAACTTGCAACCAGTTGTAGCGCATCTTTAAATAATTACATGGTAATTATAATAAGTCAACAATAATCTGTTTTAGAGAAAAATACTAATCTGGTAACAAGAACATTTTTTACGCATTTTTACGTCTCGTGTACAATGTAAATCGTATTATAATTATATCGATAACTATTTTGATGAAATAAACAGTACAAAATGATAAATATCTTACTGTTATGAAGGTACTTAACAATTTGGACGGAGTTTACACGTACACTTATGAAGCAGAGAAAAAGCAAAATTGCCTGGCATGTAGCCAAATACCACGAGAGATTGAAATCAAAGATTCAAGATACAAACTGCAAGACTTGATTGAGCTTCTTTGTGAACGACCAGATTTCCAAATGAAAAATCCCGGGCTTACAGCGATTATAAACGGTAAAAATAAAACTTTGTACATACAAACGGTGTCGAGCATCGAGCAAAAGACTCGCGAGAATCTGTCGAAGACTTTGATCGAGCTAGGTTTAAAAGACGATACTGAAATAAACATCGCCGATATTACAACTCCCAATACAGTTATTCTGAAATTAAAATTTTTACATAATGATAGAATAAGTCGGCAGTAATCACGCTGAAAATTTTGTTTTCAAATATCGCACTTCTTCTCTCATTACTTGTATTTATATTATTTGAATTAATTTTATATATAAAGCAGATTAAAAAATATAAAAATGTAAGAAAATATAATGAAGTCAAAAATCGCTTAAGCACCATTGCACGTGAAAAAATTTTCGTAATCGTAATGGCGTAAGCAAACTAATCACAGTCAAACATTCTTATTATGTTGTAAAAATACTTGATTGTGATTGGTCGATTTGCTTATGGCCTTACGGTTATGACTAATTTTTTCACATGATTGGCCTTTATACATGCGATTACACATTATTCTATATATGTTTATATGAGAAATATCTTGTTACATATGTCAAAATCGTTAAAAGCTACAATTGTGTGTAATTTATTGCACATTATTTCTTAATAATTATTAATGCGATTTTCTGTGATTTTTAAATAATATTGTAATAAAGTATATGATATAAAAAAAATTGATCGGAAATAATAATCAATCTATAAACAAATGTAGAAATATATTTAGTATTTGAACAATAAAAACATGATTATAAACATTATTTTATATTGCTATAACATCCTCATCTTGATTAGAAATTACACAAGAAATATCAATTTGTCACATAAGATATATCAGAAGTGTTTATAGTCTCCAATTGTGTATAATTTATTGTACAACAACATTATTTGTTAATAATGATTTTTTGTAGTTCTCAAATGATATTATAATAAAATATATGATAAAAAAGTTCAGTAGTAGTAGTAGTCAATCTATATATATACATATATAAATGTAGAGAAATATATATATATATATAGTATTTGAACAATTAAGACATGATTGTAAATATCATTCTATATATTTCTGTAATTACATCCTCGTTTTGATAAAAGATCATATATCATAGCAAAATTATTAACAAATAATGATAATCATAAATATAAAATTCAGCTTGCATAATTATAAGTCTCCAGATTAAGATGATATTCTTTCCCTTTTTTCTTTCTACAAATATATATAGTATTTTGTGTATTATATATTTAACTACATTTACAGAGAGAAATGGAGTAATATATAATGAGTCATGAAATATATGTACGTGTCAAAATTTATACTTGTTAGCTTATTATCAAGCATTTTTATAACAATTTTTTTTTCTTTATTTTATATCATTACATTAAATTTTATATTGCATATAAATTTTGTGCACAGCCTTCATTTGCATAATTTTATATTTTTATTTATTTCAATTAGTTTTTTTTAATTGCGATAATTAATCTTTTTTTTCATCTAATTTAAAAATATTAAAAAATTATAAAGAGCCTCCAAATATAATGCCAAAAATTTGATTGTAAACACGATTGTAATTATGGAAAGATATTTAAGCAAATGATGGATAGTGCACAATATGATATTTTGTTATACAAGCACACTCTATAACATTCGACATATGCACAACTTGAGTAGAAAAAATATCTATAACAGATACATTATCTATCCCTCTTATATAAAACTATTATTATACAATATTCATTTGCATTATTTATGGTTTGTGGTGAGTCGGCAAGTTAATATTACTCCCCATATTTTTTTGTAAAGATTATTTTTTTTATCTCGCTCACACAGAAATAAAGTTTCCTTTAATATTATATATATTTCCAGCTTCTACTAATCTAACCAATTTAACCAACTTCTAACAATCTGTACTGCACACACAATCTATAAAATCTGCGCACAGTAGAAATAATTTATATAATTGGTTTTTTTTTGTTGGTAAGGGGTATTTTCGCAACGAAACACTCGGTGAATCATTGGCATTTCATTGTTTATGCAATGTCCCAGAATGGACACTCTCCAATTGTACAATTTGTAGTTAAACCTTATTATAGTAGTTCTCATAGCTGGACACAAAATAAAATTGGCTAATCTAGAACTAGAATTAAGTGAATCGTATTTTGTGCAAATATTCAGATGTTACAGCATATATACTCGCTTACCCATAAAATTAAATTGTGATATTATTTAAAATTTTAAAGTATATATGTATACATATATGTGTGTGTGTGTGTATACATAATATTTTATATACAAAGTGCTATATATAATTAATTTACGTCTATTAAGTACATAGCAATATTTCTTGATGAAAAATAATTCAAAAGTCCTGAACCATTTTTTTTACAATGCTTAAAGAGAAATTATTAAAATCTACCTAATACACACACACAGAGCGTTGTTATTTAAATATACGTGAACCACGCGTCGGATATGTAGCCACGCAAACTACCAACCGCACGGCTCATGGACATATATCCGTTTCCGGAACGGCACTAAGTGTGTGATAAAATGTGAATTTCATTTAATAATTCCTTTTCTCTCTCTCTCTCTCTCCATTAAACATCGCAGAAAAAATGTTTGAGGATTGTCTTTTCGGCTTATTTTTCATCAAAGAATCTCACTATGTACTTGTTGAGCAAGAATTAATTAACACCCTGTATATAAAATGAAGAGATGTATTCTATACAATTTTATAATTTTAGTTATATAGGAAAGCGAAAATATTTCTTAATATATTTTGAGTTTATACAATTCACTTTTTTTAGCTTAGCCAATCCAAATGTTCCACAGAAAACTGTCACACATAATTGTTACATATAAAACGTTAGTTCAAAGTTCGTAATGCATTACAATTGCAAGTAATCGTCATATGAATAATTAACAATCTATAAATAGTAATAATACGATCCATGGTCCACATTAAAAGATACTCTGGTATAACTTAAATGTTGAAAAGTTATCATATAATGTATAATAAAGTTTGATTCTTGGTTCGATTCAGGGCGACAAAACTAGATATTTCCGTCGAATGAAGTATATAGATAGAAAGGTAGAGAGGAAAGGTAAATAGGTAATACGTATCAAATGGCAAAACTTGAGACTTCCATTGGATGAATGAAGTACATAAATAGGAAAATAAAGAGGAAGGAAGAAAGGTAAATAGGTAAGTCATTAGGTGGATACATATCAGACGATTACTGATAGCAAGAGCATAACAATGCAAAACATTGATGCAACTTGCAATTTATCAATGCAATATCTAAACGAAGGTATTATATTAATCGAGTGATTTGTGTTTGAAAGTGTCCAGCCTTTTACTTAGATCACTAAATGAAAAATATTGAAATAGTGCATGATGTCAATATAAGTCATGGTATGTGTTAGAAAATGACAGTGTTAGGCCTTAGCATCAACTTCCATAGCAACATCTACAGCTTTCTCAGCCTTCTTTTTCTTCTTTTTTGCCGACTTCGGATTTGCTGAAGAGTACAAAAGATTCTGAAATTTTTAATTATTATTAATATAACAATAATAATTAGAAAACTGTTATATATTTTCCTTATCATAATGTTCTACCTTCAATTCGGGATCGTCCACAACACAGTCAGATTGATAGATATCGAGATCAAAGGGAATTCCTGTAATTTTATGAGGTCCATTAGGCATCAAAAGTACTGTAAATTTGAATTGTGCAGCATACTCATTTGGTTTTTCATAGAGCACCTAATTAAAAAAAAGTGATATTAGAACTTTCCTCATGCGCAATACTATGATAATTAACAGTCGGACAGTAGACTGTATAATAGCCAATATCGTAGACACCAAGTAAATTTTGACTCATAGCAGATTTTTTTTCTTTTATACATATCACAGAATAAAATTTTATAATATAATATAAAATTTTATAATAGATGTGTTATAATAGATGTGTTTTAATTTTATATATATTCTTGAATTTTATATATATTCTTGAATATATTTTTTTTCTCTTCAAAAAATACTATTTGTACATGATAATTAAAAGAAAAATATGTGCAAAAAAAAAAAAAAACTGATCTTTCTATAAAATGCACATATATATATGAAATATTTGTTTTAATTAGTGCATAATTTTATAAAATATTTTAAAATATGAGTCATGAGTGACCTAGTGTCTGTCAGCATAGGGTTAATAGATTAATACATATAAATGTTCTTACTTGGAATGGCTCAATCAACCTATGGTTTACACATTCAACAACAGCCATTTTCGCTTTCTTCTCATCTTCAAAGGTGCGTAAATTGAATGGCATGAGACCATGCTTGTGGGAGACTTCCGAGTAAAACATGCGAGACGCCTTCAATTTAAGCTGATATGTCTCCTCTGTCTTCTTGTATATTGTGACTCGAGTATCCTGTTCCCTTCCTATCCCTTCACCTGTACTAACCAGTACATCCATTGCATACACCTGAAATTAAATACATATAATAATTTTAAAAAATTACTTAAGAAAATATTCTAGATTTCTTATATGCTTTTTTTTTTTTAATAAGATACACATAACTTTCAACTTGTTTTTCAAGAATAAATACAAGTAATGATTACAAGGCCAACACACGAGTTGTTGGGTACTGGTGTATGTGTGACAAAGTATCAATAAAGTATATTTTTTATTATTAATATTTAATATTCAAAATCTCTTGCAGTCTCGAGACAAGTATTATAGAAAATATACTGTATTTTTTTGCATTTACACTAGTAGTCAAATTTGTTTGATATCATTGTTCATATTTTTATTATTTTACAAATGATTAACTACCAACTTTAATTATGTATAACTTAAATGTTGTTCCAAGCGCATAATTTTTACCTCGTGAGTTTCAAGTGTATACTTTTCATGTTCTTTCTTTTGTGCATCATTCGGATTCTGAATTATCGTTTTCTCTCCATCAATCTTAAATTGTTTTAACTGATGACTTAACATGCCCTCAATCGGTTTACATTTATAAGCATCACATATTTTCTCTACTGTGCCTGTTATTGTGTATGTCTGAAATATATAATAATATATCAAAATTTGTTTATAATTTAATTTGACACATTTTAATTTTAAAATAGATGAAGAAGCAATATAGTACACACAAGTCGGTTCTCAATCCTACCTCTGTACCTGGCTTCAACAGCCTTAATGCAGCTTGAGAAGCAAAATGTGCAGCTAAAACTACATCTGCTTTTCGGCCTGTAACTTTCTTCTCTGGTGAAGAATTTATGACAATGGTGTGTGCCACTACAGCTATAAAACCATCGACATGTGCTCCCAGATCACTAGAATCATATAATTTATATATATTTTATGTGACATGTTAAATGTTTTCAGTAACGTATAATATTATTTATACTATTAAATTTTGTTAGTATTACACAATCTATAAAAAAGCAAGTTTTTTTTTAGAAATAAACTTACACTTTAACCATATCCTCATCCTTGAGAATAAGATCAGGTTCACTAGCAATGGGTGAAAAGTGACAAATGCAATTATTGACTGATATGCATGTTGGAAAAGCAATCCCCTTTTTAAGTTCTTTCTCTTTTTTAAAAACTTTGTTAGTTTCTTCTGTAAGTAGTTTGTCACCAAACTCACATATTTCTCTTACAGAAGCTCCAGCAACGCATTTGTCTAAAACTTGCTTTAATATCCCTGTAAAATATATATATCACAAGCATATATATTATGATATAATTATGAAAAAAATTACATGTCAAAGTTATATATCAATAAAACTTTTGGAAGAATTTTTTTTTGCAAATAAAATTTGTTTATTGCAAATTAAATTGTACATAATATATAATATTATCTATCATTCATTGAATATACTATAAAATTGATATATAAACTATATTCCGATATTCACTGCCAGTATTGAAATTCAAAATACAGCCATAGGATAGAATCTGTTAGTCATAATTCAAATAGTATATATATGTGTGTGTGTGTGTGTGTGTGTGTGTGTGTGTGTGTGTGTGTGTGTGTGTGTGTGATGCGCGCGCGCGCGCACACACACACACACATACACACATAAATCTTATAATTTTATATGAACTCATAAGACAATAAACAGATACATTATATGCTATTATCTTAGAAAATCATGTAAATTCGCTATTAAGCCAGAAAGATAAGTGTATTGCAGTTATATACAGCTTATATTTAGTGCGAGATAATTAAAACGAATCAAGAGCGTGCAAACGGCATGAATGTACGATCGCGGCTGAAATTGTATGAATGATAGACGATCGCGAATAAACAAAATTCGTTCGTTGAGCAAGCACGCATTTGATAGATCGAGAAAGCGCTATTGGATCATATTGGAGAATGCTTAGAGAAGACTTAAAGGTCTAGCACATGGCTGCGGAATAGCCCGGCATTGGCGCGCCGAATTCCATATGGCAACAATAAGAAGAATACGCGCGTGCGATGCGCGTTTACGGCCGCAGGAATTTTGCCCGAGTACTATGGAAGCGTTCCCTTACGATTTACGATCTCGCCAGCCATTTTATACTTGGTGACAACCAAGTCCTCGGCGATGGTCTTTTCAGTTTCTTCTTTGTCCGCCATGTCTTCGGCACACTATATCGAAATCACGTGACTCCAGCACAGACCAGCACCTCCTCCTCCTCCTCCTATAACTCCTTTCGTCTCGGTCCTCGATCACAAACACCGCGAATCGACACCATAGACATATAAGACACATAGATGGGAGTCTCTTCTTCTGATTGCGAGTCCGGCATGCTGGCAAACGTTTCGAATTGGAGGGACAAATCTCGCGCATGCGCAACGTGCAAGCGCTAGTAGACGCTGTAAATACTTCAGTCACGTATTTATTCCGTTGCAATAAGGAATATTAAAAATTAAACATAAAATTTATGTATGTAAATAATCTTTTTGTTGCCTTTCTAATTTATAAAATAATTTGTAAATAGAAAAAATACGTGACGCTGGCACTCTCTATTTACAGATAAATCTCTGACGTAACTTTACTGACAAATTATAGACTGCGCACTGCGTTCGGTTGGCAACAGCCAACCAAATAACATCGAACAATGTCAAATTTGACAACTGAACACAGAAATTTTTTAATTCCTTCCATTATTTTCCGTCTCATTTTATAAAGGATGTATATCCATTTGTATGATTATCATTATCGCTGTTTCTCGTGTGTCATAACAGTGATAATAGTCAATAACTCCGGAATAATTTCTTAACGATGCATCGACATAACCTCATCAACAATTGTCAAACTATAAAGGGAGCGAAAATTTACGAAAAAATTCGTATGTGTCGCAAATAGAGACGATTGGAAAAGTTTCTTTCTCATCGATGCCCATATGGATGTGCAAACGGATATCAATTCACTGCGACCGCAAATGGCATTACGAAATGTGAACTCTGGCAACATATTCAATACACCTTTGACATCATTCGCAGGTATATATAATCAAATAAGTACGTTATAAATGCATCCACAATTTATGATAAATTATCGTTATATCTTGTCTGAATTTATTTATGAAAATTAAATTTAATATATTTTAATTTTTCAGAGATGTGGTATCAAATATTTCTATGGGCCCTATTCTCTTCAATATTTGTGCACACAATCGCTGGCGCGATTTGTTTTGCTACTTTGCGACAGCACAAATACGGCAAGTATGTAAGTTTTAAATGTTATTTATATGGGAGTTAAACACAATTCATGATCAATTATATATACAGATTTTTTCCGCTGCTTATCATAATAATGGGTGTATTGCTACCATTGACATCGGGTGTTGTTAGTTCGGCGGCAGTTGCATTTGTGTACAGAGCGTCCGGTTATCAAATGCCTCCTTTGTATGCATTGTTTTGGGGTATTGGACAGACCGTGGTTCCAGTATGTGTTGGATTCACACGAATCTTAGCGACTTTGTAACCCAATGTTACAAGAACTACATTTGTGATATTTATCTGTATATACAAGAACGATGATCAAGTGTCTTCTAAGTTATATATATATACAAAATTATGTACATACATATGTATAGGTAAGTTTATCAATGTATATCTAGTTACCTTCGCATCCATTATCGAACTGATTGTAAAAAATGATAAAAAATGAAGTTTTATTGAAAGATAAATATTAGGAGGATTTTGTAATGAAAAACAAATGCATTTATCGTCCATCATAGTGAAAGCGTCATGGTATCAATAAATTAGTTCTCATGGTTATTTATTTATTTTTTTTTTGTGTAACAGATTGATCTTTTTAAATTGTCAATAATATATGTTCTCTATATTTTATAAAATACAATGCGCTAATTATGTTATACAAATATTAGTATAAGGTGAGTAAATCTAAATTATTTTACATTATTTATATCATACAATTGACCATAAAATCCCTTTCAAGACTTGTCTGCTTTCACATGTTGCTTGAAATCATTGGCGATATTTTTTATATCTGTTAACCCTTCTTCCAAGGCTCTAGAGGCCTCCATCTTTATGTTTTCGTCAGAAGTGCTTAGTAAGTTGAGCACCAAATCTGTGTGGAAAAAAAAACAATATTTTTTGGTTAGTTTCACACTATAAAGAAAAAGATCTTTTTTTTTTTTATTATTTCATAGATTATTACATACCATGGTATTTGGAAAGAATCGATATCGTATCAGGCTCTAATTGCTTTTGGAGGAATGCGAGAACAGTTGTTACATGTCTGCCAGACATGTGTAAGGCATTTTGCGTGGCAACAGTGAAAAGCACACTAGTAACTAGATGCAATGCCAATGCGGGATCTTGTGTAGCATTCAATTCCTCCAACAGAGCTTCTCTGTGAGTGTGCACCTGCCGTCGCTCCTTCTTTTTATCATACTTCTTCAGAACCAAACAGCAAGATGCCATTGCTCCATCAACAGTATTCAAAAAATCCTCCACCGAATCTCCCATTACTGTTTTGTGGGTAGCGGTCAATGGTTCTTTAACATCTGCAGGTAGTTCGAGCAACAATCTTTGCCTCATCTCTGTCGTAAGATTCTCTGCCACTTGTAGCATATTCTGTTGAGCAGCCAATTTAAATATACTTGTTACAAAATCGAGACCTAGCGACTTGAGCAGATATTTGTTCAGCGGGGCTTGATCTGCTTTGTTTAAATGTTTGATGCCCTTGTCGAATATTCGAATATTCGTTATTAGAATATTTAGGCGCTCGCTAATTTCGTTTAGATTCGTGGTCTTGTTGGATTGAGCCAATTGCTCTGCTAATGATAAAGCGGATTTATTCAATTTCGGTTGCAGGTTGTGCGCTAATTCGTCCGCCAAATCTTCAATTATGGATATGTTCTCATCTTTCATAATTTCCGCTTTTATTCCTTCCAAGGATATTAATGTAATCTCGCCTTTTTCGACTGATGTCTGTCTCGTCTCATCTTCATCGGAATCATTTTCTTGTGCTCTTCCTTGAAGATACTTCTTCTTTGTAGACTTTGTCTTGGTTTCCCTGCCTTGGCTACCGCCACCCGCTTTACCAAGAACTGCTTTTTTTCTTCGTTCCTCCTTTTTATTCGTTTTACTCTCGATTATTAGATCCACAGACTTTGATTTCAATTTATTTTCAATAATACATTGAACCCATTTTCCATTAGCTACTACTTCTCGAGCCTTCTGTTCTGCTATTGCTTCAAAGGATTTGGTTAAAGTTTGTAAGAAGGCATCAGAAACTGCAACTGTTTTTGCAAATATATGCACATTGACCTTTGTCTTCTTTGTAAATAATTTGAGAAGAATTTCCGCATCCTCGTCACTAAATACAGACGGTAAAAGAGGATAAAGATCAAGGAAAGATCCGGTCGCAATGATTTCTTCAATATTAGCGTCAACTTGATCCATTACCACTGTTCCCACAGCTACTGATTTTAAATAGATCATAGTCTCGTTTGGAAAATGACGCTTTATATAACCTGATGGGTCCGATATCCCCAGTCTTGTGAGCGCGTCATATTCTGAAAGATAAAAGTACATTAGATTGATTGATATTTAGGAATTTCCTACAAAAAATTGTTCTAAATTATATATACCTAAATATCCATTCTGCTTATAAAAGTTTTCAACCCACTCATTCTGACTTTTAGAATATATAGTAGGTATGTAAATGCTATTTCCACTCTGTTTCCCAGTTACAACTCCAGGCACCTGTTTTACTTCTTGCAAACCATCCAGAATTGCTATAATATAATAAGATAAATAGAAAATGTAAATATTATAAAAATGAATGCTAAGTAATAGATCTAAACAAAGATAGATTGATTTGTTCCAATCAATATAATTGATATATTAAACATATAATATTTAACAAAATAGAAACAAAATTACTTAATTATGTGAAAAAGTAAGGAAGTTATTATCTTTTTATAATGTCAATATGTTACATTTTTGCACTTACAGAAAAATATCCTTTCTGGAACACTACATTGGCCTAATATTGCAGATAGTGGTGTAGGCTTTGTCACAGCAGACAAAGCACCTCTAATTTTTGCTCTATTTTTAGCTACAAAGCTTTCAGTATAAAAGATCTTAGGATCTTGGTAATCTTGCGTGGCATGTATTATCTTTCCCAGTTCTTTTTCGATAACTGATTGTAAGAATTCGGCAGGTAAATTATAAGTAAGTGTCAATTCGGCCACATTGATACAACCGTGTTGTATGAGCTTATCATTTATTTCTTCTGCAATTTTATTTATATAACTCCTATCGATGAGTTGTCCCAATATTACTTTTAGCCCTTTATTGTGCTTTTCAATTTCTGTTACTACTTTGGTTACTTGTGATAAATTAACATTAAGAATTTGTGCTAGGTCGACTAAACTAACTTTTCCACCATGAATATACAATTCATCCTTGATTTCTTTTCCAAGATACTGGGGAGTTACGTATTCTTTGCCATCATTAGTAAATATAATATCGAGAAGCTTGTTTTCTACCAATGTTGTTATAATCTCTATACAATTTCGTTCAGAAAGTCTGTAATATAAGTTTAATTACGTTAGATTGCTGTAAAACATGACAAATATTATCTCAACATATGTAATGAATTTAATTGAAAATTCTCAAGTTTTTTTTAGTGTTGCAACATCAAAAACTGATATAAAAGAAACAATAAATAAATTTTAATTTAAACATATTCTTATTTATGTAATAAATTATAATAAAATTAATCTTCTTTAAAATTCATATTCAATAAAAATAAATTTATCAATATATTACTATCAACATTCCATATGTTTAAATTTGATCAGAGATTTCTCATGAACTATTACAATACAAAATTATACGCAAAAAATGAATCGAATAACAAAAATGTATTTGTAATTTTAATATAATTTATTCGCACACTTTACTATTATTTACAATTATTTTACAGTTATCAGAGATTACTACGAGAACGAAATTATGTTGTGATCCACATTGTGGAGATTAAAGTTGTCTCATACTTTTGTAAAGTTGAGCTGAGCTGTGCCTTCTGGAAATCAGCGGCCAGCCTCTTAATTTCTTCCCAATCCACGCTGGACATTTTTCTTTTTATATCATTTAACTTATCACTCTTTAAAATTGAGGAAAGGTGTGACTGATACACTCTGGAAACTGCCAAGTTATCAAGTTGCCAAATTTAACCTCACATATAGTATAGAGTATTGCTGAGGTACCCTACTAGCATGCCCTATTGGAAAGAGGTCTGTAATGCTTACTGAAGATAAAAAGGATCGTTGAATTGATGAATCATTTCATGAGTTATGCCATTAATTTACAGAACCTCTTTTGCTGAAAAATATTTTTTGATATATATTTTTAATTCAATGAATTTATATTCCTCGTTAATAAATTGTTCATAAATTGAACATTTCAATGTTTTTTTTTTTTTTTTCGGTATTATGACAAGTGATCCGATGTTGGTAAAACAATAAAACAATATTAGTTGTATCAGGTTTCGTAGAGTTTAATTATAGATGTCATTACTTTGACATTAAAGCAGCACTTCTTTTTTAAAAAGGCAGTTTGAAATTCTTTTGAATTCCGATTTTGTTCAGGTAAGCACACAACTTTACGCACTGACAAAGGGAAAGTTTTTTGAACGCTACCTACTTTGAAAAGTTAGTTCGGAAATCACTAAATACAGTTGCAACTCTGTGCTAGACAAATAAAAGGTCTTATACATGCACTGCTCCACTTTGATTCCGGCTTTTTTCCGAAGAAGACGCAGACACACGTGTATGACATCCCGGTATCGAATTAAAGTGAGATTGAGCAGAAGACATCGTGTTAATTAAATACGAAGAAAGAAAAAGCTTTTTGATCGTCGATCAACAGTAACGCGAACTCGTGGAAAGATACGTAAAACGAATTCTGGCAGATACGAGACAAAAATGCAGGCATTGACTAAGCTGTTCGACGACGAGCCGCTCGATCATTCGGATGCATCATCAATGTTAAGACTCGATGAAAAATCAATACACGCTGAACCAAATGTGACAGAAATGAGCCAATCTTCGGAAACAGAAGAGCAAGCATCGACTACAAAGAAATCTGCGAAGAATTGGCCGATTCACTCTATGATGAAAGACGCTTTTAATCATTTTAGTTATTATTTTGATTATCTTTGTTATAAAATTCAAGAGATCATTTACTACTATATCATGCTGCTTTTAATATGCTGTGACGATACATTGGTATTTAACGAGGATGAAGATTACGAGAATCATGAAACAGAAAACGTGGATGATTTGGAGAAGATCTTTGATGAACGAGAGAACAAGGAAGGACAAGCGACGTTGTGCGAAACCAAATTTTCGAATTCGGCTGAGAATCTCTTTTCGAGACGAAACTCATCGTCAGATGAGTCGGACTTTCTCATGGTATCTCTATCCGATGTAGAAGATTTTGCGAATTAGCATCAGATGCTATAAAACTGCGACGACGAAGCATCTTAGCATCAAGTGCGATGGTGGCGAAGCAAGAACCGGCAAAAACCGTAAGAATCATAGGAAATCCATGGAATATCCGAGAAGATAGCAAGTATTCTTTTAAAAATAAAAATAAATAATTTTCATAAATTTTAGACTAGATTTTTTTACGCTTATATCGCGCATATATATAAGTGTAAGCGACAATTCCCCCACGTGTTCGACACATGTTTGTAAATATTTTTATAGGATTACTCAAATTCTTTCTCTTATGTACATATATTTTACAATGTTTTTTATATTGATTTAGATTTTTAGATCAAAGCCGGATTGAAAGATCTTGGATAATTTCAATAAGAAATAATCTCCCTATTCCAATGTATATATA